AGTTACATAATCTTAATTAGTTACGTAACTTTTGTATTGTTATTTAACTTTTGTATTGTTATTTGTAATTTTTAATAAAAGTTTAATTAGTTACATAACTTTTGTATTGTTGTTTGTAGTTTTAACAATAAAAGATTATAATAATTTCGATTTTGTGTAATAAATATATTATAATTAAAATATATAAATAAATTTTTTTTATCCAAAATCTTTTATAGCGAAACTATGAATACACTCAAAGATATTACCAATCAAAATAAACAGATCCATTCTAACAATAATAATAATAAATCACACTCTTTATTATCCAAACCTAGTAATTATAATGAACAGTTTTTTTCAAATCAATATTCTACTTCTCAATCATCGATTGATGAATCAATTCAAAGTAATGATTATAATAATTAGTCTGAAGAAGAGGGTTTTGCCTCAAATTTACTCAAAAAACGCCATGGCGGTTCTAAACTAGATCCAGTTTGGGAATATGTTAATATTGGTGATTATTTGGGAGATGGTCATTATGCAGCTAGTTGCAAGCATTGCCCATGTAAGTGGGCATGTGAAAAACTACAACTACTCAAGCATCATTTGGCTTGTGAATGTCCAAATGTTCCACAAGAAATTAAAGATACTTGGCGAGATAATTTAGCAGTAGATGAAAAGTCTACAAAAAGACAACATAGAACAAAAATATTAAATAATTCTAATTTAGAAGTAATTTCAGAAGACAGACAACAAGAAATAGATAGATCTGTTTTAAAAGGTTGGGTGTGTGCGGGAATTTCTTTTGAAACCATAGATAATCCATTCATAATTGATATGTTTAAAACTTTAAATAATGGTTATACTCCATCTTCTCATTCTACACTTTTTGAACATATTCTTGATAAAGAAGTTGCTTAGGTTGAAAAAGCAATTGACAATGAATTAGAATCTGAATCGAATCTAACATTAACACTTGATAGATAGACTGCACCAACGAGATCATCATTCTACAATTATATTATTATAACACCTAGCCGTAAAGAGCACTTATTTCAAATTAAAGACTCTCAATGGTTTCGCAAACTGGTGATTTTCTTGCTAAAGAAATTAATGGTGTTCTTAATGAAATTGGAGTAGAAAATTTGCCACCATTATTACAGATCATGGTTCAAACATTAGATGTGCAAGAAGATTAGTAAATAATCAATTTAATTTTATTCTTGACATACGTTGTGGTGCACATGCAATAAACTTAATTGCATCTAATTTATCTGATACTGAAGAAATTAAAGAATTAATTAAAAAATGTGAATTGGTTGTAAATTTTTTTCACCGTTCATTAGTAGCTAATGAACTATTAAAAAAAGATTAATAGCTATGAATATTAATGGTGGCGAACTTAAAACCTACTGTAAAACCTGATGGGGATCACTATTCACAACTGTTGATTCTTTCATTCGTACACAGCCAGTTTTTGATTGGCTTATTAATAACCATGCAAATGCAATTTCTAACAAGACAGTACTTGATTTAATTCAAAATA